GGAGCAGAGAACGCATTCTCAGGGAAATCTACCAACAGGAAGCTCGAACGACATGGTGACTATATTGCATTCTTCTCATGAGACTGGACCATGCTCTTCTTGTGAGAAAGAAGGAAGATGCTTATCATTTATGACAATGATTCAGCTCGATCTCCACTGCCAGCTCAACGGAGCAAATGACTTAGGCAGTGTCTCTGGCAATTGAGGAAGTGAGATATGCGTCACTAGCTATGGACTTGCAAGGTTTGTTTCCCCGCCATTGTCGCCATGGAAATGGCCGACATTGGCATGGGGAGGTTGTTCTTGACTTGAGTATATAGTATTCCTCTGTATTGATTGGAGAGAAGGAATGAGGAGCAACAGAGGATAAGATGGTGGCGCCTCTTATAGTTCTTGGACCGGTCTGGAATATGGCGTTTGCCGTGAGTTTGAAGTCAAATATGGGAAAGTTCCGTTCATATATTCTGTAATGGAGACATGGTAATCTCTTAGAGGATGTGTAGAGAGTGGAATATCCCGAGAAGATTCTTCTAGGAACTTGCGAGTTTATATAGCTAAGAATTCAACCTTAATGGATTCACCTACGTACTGCGCCATCAACACAATTTGAATTCCAATTCGCATTGATAGATGCTACGTGAAGTAAAGACGGGAGACGTAAGTGATCCACTTGATATCATCTTCACGGAGTAGACTGGCGCTAAAGTGCTATAGATTGACTGTACTGCACCTAGATACCTCAAGTTTGTTTGGGAGGAGTACTGCTCACAAAACAATCATTCACTCGAACTGTACATCCAACGCTAATCGGCTCAGGCTGTTTGTCCTGTACCACGAGAATATTTTAATATTATTGGTTAGACGCTATGTTTAGCCTGAGCGGATATTCGATGATATCCCGTCACTTTCATCACTTAGCCGTCACTCTCATGACTTAGCCGTCAGTATCATCGCTTAGCCGTCACTCTCATCAGTTACCTGCACCTATTCACGGTTCGTGCAGGATATCAGTATCGCAGATGAGAAAATGAATTTGACATAAATGATTTGTCATTGCGCCGCACTTAAAACTAGAAATAGCGAGTTCAAGCCAACACGCCCATCGGGTCCCACCTGGGCAAGACCTTCGGACTCTGGTCTAAGATTGCGCGCACTTCACTCGAAACAAAGTCCGAGTCCACCACGGCCTGAAGTGTATATTCATCCATCCAGCGATCTGTCATCACAAACCAGCCCTTATCGCCAGCAGCCTCGCCCCACGAATTCTCGACACGCCAGCGCACCGGCTTTCCATCTTCGATATGCACACCTGTGATGACCATGGCATGGGTCATTGCTGATTCTCCGCTCACCAGCCTCTGGGCTTTGCTCATTCCCAAGGAGATATTGAATCCCAGGGTGAGGTCCATGATGTCAAGATCCATGATTCCCAGCGTACTATTGCTGAATTTACCTACATCACAACCGAAGAACACAGGATGACCGGCTTTGAGCATTGAGATGACCGCTTTCTTGAGGATCTATGATAGAAGCGTGTTAGTGAGAAGGAATCGAAAAAGATGATATGTTCACGTACCTTCATCTCCACATTGGCATACGTGAGTGGTCGTCCTTCCAGCACATTTCCTAGCCTCTCCACTGTCAACAGTCTGTTATACTCATTGCGCGGATCATTGACCAAGCTGAACAGGCGCGCAGGAGCGACGCTGCCCTTCCTCACAGCTCCCAGGCTCGTGGCTTGACGAGCAAACTCCCGTGGGGTGAGTCTAATCTCTTTAGACTTCCCCTCAGCATCATAATACTGCCACACAAACGTCTTATCAGGACTAGGAGGTGGTCCCAACAGGAGAGTAACCATCGAGTGGATCTCCTTCAAGAACCGCTCCTTAGCATCCGCTAAGCCGGCCGCATCACCACTCCGCACCAGCCGTCTCAACACAAGTGCCTGCTCACGCAACTTAGCCGTGAGCAACCAGTTCATCTTGGAGCTATTCTGCGCATGGTATGCATCCGGATACAGATCATGCGGGACGAGACCATACTTCTCAATCAAGTTGACGACCATGTCCCACTGGCCGCCATCACTGACGGGGTCTTCGAGGAGTTTCTGGACCAGACGACCAGAAAGGTCCTCGCCAGCAGTGGTAATAATCTGCTCGAAGAACCAGTTCGCCTTCTCCAGCTTGTCCCAGTAAAACAGGTATGCTTGGCTCAGCTCAAAGTCCTTCAGGTTATACGCCTTCATCAACGGCACTCGGTATACGTTAGTCGATGCGAAGAGCCAGCATCGGCCGGAGGATCGCTGGTTCGTGATCGGGGAGCCTTCGATAGGAACTTTGATGTTGAAGATGTGGAGGTCAGATTGGAGAGCGGGGCGGTTGGCTAGCACTTCTGTGTAGGGTTGGCTGGCGAGACTAGATATGGCAAGACGGTTCTGTTATTATCCGTGAACAGAGTTAGTTTGGTTACAAATGAGAGAGCTGGACGGGTTGCTACACTTGCCTTGGCATTGCCCAGTAAGGTCTCGTTCCAGTCTTGGACGTGCTGGAGGGAGAGAGTGGAAGTGCGTTCGCGCACATGGTATGGTGGTGCTATGATTATCAGCATATGTCCTATGGAAGGAAGAAGTGGAGCCTATCGTACGAGGCTGGGTTAACTCCTTTGTGTAGAGTGGCAGAGAGCAAGTATCGGCATCTTCAATCCACTCGCGGTGCGAGCGCTTTTCCTCGCTATGGCTATTGGGTTCTGGCTTGGAATAACTGGCACCCATGGTGACTGGATACGATTTATAGTAGAACCGAAACTGAAATGAAGATATATGGGTGCCTATGGGGGGAACGAGGGAAGATGACCGATAAGGAAGCAGACAGACAGGCGGAAGTGGTCATTCATAAGCGTGAAGGACCCGGGGAGCCAGCGAGCGGGGAATCAAACAGCGCAGGATAAGATATAAGCGTTCTATTGGCCTGTCGAGCAAGGGATTATCGGCTAATTGTTGATAATTGGCCGCTCTGGCGGCTAAGCAAGGCTTAACGCTCGGACGGGGCAACCAAGGATGATCACATTCTCGGCGTGAATTCCGACATGCGGCAAGGTTGCCTTTTAGCCCTACTGATATCTAAGGCATCAAAGTTAGGTACACTACTAAGCAAATGATCGATCGCACATGGTCTGGAGATCAGGAATATGATATCCGCATTAGTTTAGCATAAAGACGGTTGTTGATCGTCGTGACTAGCTACGCAATAAATGGTCCTGAAGCCAGCGACCACCAACATGTTACCTATGTATCGGCAATACTAGTACAGCTCTGTTGATGAAGTCTGCTCAACGAAGTAAATCCCCGAACCATAAGACGCAATTCTAATTTTCTCCCCTAGGAACATACATACATGCGAGCTTGTCCTGGCTTCATCCCATAAACTGGAGACTACTGGACCCCCGCACCACGTTAAGGTGCAAGCTCATGGCTGGATATAAGTAGGTAAGTAAATAACACTATATGGCGGGACATACGCACCTATACCTACCACATGCAACCAGCGGGTAAGGTCTCAGAGCAGGCCTTGAAAGGTATAGGCACGCTGACTGGCAGCAGCCTAGGAGTTTGACTTTCCTCGGCAGTTGTCCATCATCTTGCAAATGGAGTGCTGACACTGGCAAGATCGTGCGGAACCGCAGTCTATCCAAGTCGGGCACCTCGTTCTCGGGCGCGATGAGATATCCGGATCCCCAACTCTCCAAGGCAGACTCGTTTCTTGCCATATCCAGTGCCATGACCTTGGTGCTGGGGCCAGTCTTCCACGAGTCACACGATAGTTCGAGGATCTTGTCTCGAAGCCGACCCATCCTCAACAGCGGGCGATGACTCAGGATGGAAGCAGCCTCACGGAGAAAATTGAATATTCCCTCCCCCCTCCCCAGCATAGTGTCCAAGTTCGAAAAAGTCGTTGTCGTGAGATTTTCACCACCTTATGGAGGTCTCAAACTAGTTGAAGCACCAAACCGCGGGGTATGCGGACGCTGAGATTATATCCTAACACCCATACATCCGATGCTTGACAGCCACAGAGCTATTAGCATGGATGAAGCGTAATATCGGAGAATGGAATAACAAATGGGAAGAGAAATATGGACCTTTCTGGAGGGACAGTGATGATTCAATGACACAATAAACTGTGGACGAGTAATAGTGATTGGGCGAAGAATATGTAAGAGATGAAATGCACAAATGATAGCTGAACAGCCGAGGAAATAGCGGGCAAATTATGCAGCCCGCCTGGTGAGGTCAACGAGGACAAATTGAGCCGGGGATGGAGTGAGTCGAGGCATAGATGGTTAGTGAAGGAAATGAAGGCGAGGAAGTGCGGCGAAAAGGACATGCTTATTCTGCGTAGCATTGTGATGAGACAGAAGGGGCGATGAGGGTGTGGAAATTCCGATGTCAGGAACTGGCGCTGAGACGAAACTGGGAAAGATCACCTATGTGTCACAATAACCAGATTTGCAGAATACTGCTCACCACGTCCTTGTATGTACATGAGTGTAGACACTACTCACAGATATTACCAGGAAGATGTGAATTCGCAAAATCTGTACCTAATCATATTATAACTTATGAGCAACATGATATTGACTTTAGCATAGTTGTAGTCAAACAGGTCCTTGCTATCTAAATGTTTCTAATCGTGCGAACAGGAGTCCCAAAAAACAAAGCAAAGCATGGGCACCTATCCGATGACCTTCGCTCATTAGTAGTTGCCCACATTTGTGCGCCTGAAAAGGTCGAATATCTTGCTCAAAGTCATCCTTCTAGTAGGGCCAAATACACCGCATGCCTAACAGTCAGATAATCAAATTCATCGAGTTGTAGATGAATACACATGAGAAGCCAGAAGGGACTAAATTCTCCAGTACGAGACTGTCCAATAAATCGGTCGCCTCAAGACTGCGAATCAGGAATACAGTCCTCATATGGCGCAGTGATTCTTCTCTGAGCTTCATGCCCTATGCGTCATTGTGTAGATACGGTAAATCTGCTGCTCACGGCTCATGAGTGATAAAGTACGCTCGGGAACCTCAAGGAACCCATAATTCACCCAGAGAGTGAAAAGGTCGTCTCTGTGGCTCAGCAGGCCCGCTATGACTATATCCTCGTACCCGGGGTCTTGGCTGTAGACCGCGTTGTTAGAGGTGACAAAACCTTCTGACATGATAAACGCAGTTGCATAGTTGGCAAACGCCCAGTCAGCTGCTACAACCATTTCCTCTGTGCCTTGAATGATCTCAAACCTTCTAACGCGGGATAGACGACAAAACGGCAATAAAACCTCGTTAAAGTCGTATCCAAGTCCGTTCTTGCAAAAGGTCGAGTTAACTTGGCCGTTCCTGATCCAGTCAACGCCATTATGCTTGCGTAGGCAAATCGCCATAGATATAATAGCCTCTGGAGTAGATCCAAGTTGATGTAATCTCTCGTACACCGGCTCACTCCGATATTTAAAGTGTGGGTTTTCCCGATCACAGTACTTTCTCGAGTCGTCGATAGTGCACAGCATTTGAGTTAGTTTCGATATTTTCTCCCAGAGCAAGATAAATTGGCCGCAGTCGTCAGGGTCAGGCGCATATATGTGAACAACAAGTTCAACTTTATCGTACGGTACCCTTGCCAGATTACTGAATTTGTTATAATCTCGTCTTCCGATCACCCACTTCACACGTAGTAGTTTACAGCGAATCTCGATCCACGGATCTTCGAAAGTTGGGAAAAGATGGATGTCAAATGTATCGTAAAGACGGTCGGCTATATCATGGTAGATTGCCTGACTGGTTCGAAGGATCGCAAGGGAGCCCTCCTTAACAAGATTCTCCCAGATGAGTAAGCGTATTTCGGATGGAAAAAAGATGAAATGACCAAACGGTGAAGCGCTCATGGTGAATGTTGGCTGATATTCCTGATTGATGAAGATGTTAAGGGAGTTGTACTTGGCAATGTAGGCTATAGCGGAGACGAAAAGTAGAAACGGGAAAGTCATGTTCATAGTGACATCAATATGTCAAATCAGCGCCTAGATTCGAAGAGTCTTGAAGACATCATGACGGTTTCTATGACACAAGAGAAGGAATAATTCGTACACCGTTTGGCAGCTCAGACACCATATGCCATCATAACTATATCTACCATGACTTTTGATTAACCGCGGTACGGCCCAACACGATTTACGCAGGCTTTACTGTACAGTACTTGATGTTCCACATATCCTCGCTAGAATCCACCATAGGATTCCTCAGTGCGTAGAGACAATCTCTTAACTCACATACCATCGCCATTCACCAAACGTGGCCCTTATTTCATCATACTGTTCATCTTCTTCCAGACACCTACGTGACAACGCATTAGCCCGGGCATGATAAAGAAAAGTAAAGGAGAATGTGGACTTCGCATACTCTCAAAAGAGACAAATCCAGTCTTGTCTTCATCATAGAAGTTGAACATGGCCTCCAACTGCATATCGTTCAGTTGGCTGCCGCTGCTGCTACCTTTCACGGCGTTCTTGAACTCGGGAAGAGCGAGCTTTCCTATTCAAATACATGCAGCATTAGTATTGAGAAGCCACTAATAAGCACGTTAGATGTGGTATTTACCTTCGCCGGATTTATCCTGGATTCCTTGTTAGTATCTAATAACCCAGATAATTTTAGGTACGACTTACCGCCTGCTGGAAGAGAGCCTTCAGCTCTTCGTAAAAGCCCTGTGTTCCCTTGGATTCCTACATAATCAGGATGAGTCTATGGCAAGGAGTAATACACCTAAAAATACCAGGTACTAACCGAAGCAGACATTTTGTATATTCTGAGAGTTGTTAATTACTAGTAAGTATGAAAATGGATGTGTTAAGCACGGCCAGATCGATGTCGTGGAATTTTTCATCTCCACTTTTCCTCCTCGGATGCGCGACACTCACTCGCTGAAGGGGCGACCCACTTGCTTATTTGGGTCATAACCATGGATTAAGTTGACGACCGATATTCCCTTCATGAATATGCCCTACTATTGAGTGAGTGACGCCAACGTAAGAAGAGTATCTTTAGAGGGTCTGATATTCGAATTATTCATACTCCTGCATTCTTCTTTTGGGAGATTTTTGCTCTCCCACTATCCACTGTAGTGTGTACCCCACGGTTCATGGAGACTACTCAGCGCACCTGTGACACAATTGCGTATATTATGTAGTCAGAGGGAATTACTCGGCATGGTACTCGTGTGCTCAACTCCCAATGTTACGTATCTCTCTGTCCTTTTATGGATGTTAGTCGTTCTATGCAATCGAAATTCGACACTCTAGCTGGGACTAGTAGTAACATGCCTGTGTGAGGACTCTGCGACCGTGCATTGACCCTAAACTTTCTGCGTAGAAGTGGTCTCTTGAAAAGCCTTGATTAACTGACTATTCACATTTTGTATATTCGTATCTGTTCCTATGTGAGGAAGAGTCCTACTGGCAGGTTGTTTAACCTGGTTAGAACCCCTCAACAACACAAATCCAACCCCAGTCGATCACTTCCCAATATAGCATCAAATGAGCGATATACAAAGTACTCTCTGCCTTCCAGAAAAATCAATAACGCCAAAACATTGGTCCGTGCCAATGTAATGGCCGATAAGAAAAGTAAGCATCAGGATCAGGATCAGCAATCTTGGCACGAACATCCCCGGCGGACCTGCGTCGGAACCCCGGTGACACGATAAGTAGCCGTCTGCAGGATGCACGGGATGTGACCAACATCACTGCGGGGTTCCTTGAAGAAATGTCTCACATTGCTAATCAGTTATCAATCTTGCCTCACTTTCTTTTCCTCCGAACGCGGTGAAATCCTCCGTTACGGCAGGTTCAGGAACACGTCCAGCAACTTCGGGAAGTTGGGCGTTCCGAGACCGCTGACGGGGTCCCATCTTTTTTTCACCGATTATTAGCACATCTCCTCATATGAAGCATGGTTATAGAAAAGAAGACAAAAGAAAGGAAATACATACCCAGGGGCAGTATAGAATCCCTCCGTTCCACAACCCGGGTTCGACCCATTCGTGATATCGTTCAATGCCCACGCATTCCGGTACAGAACCGGGTTCAGGAAGCCCAGTGGGCCCTTTCCTGCCGCGATACGTTTCTCGATAATGCGGTTAATCACGGAGGAGAAGATCGGAGTGCCTTTGTGTAATTGCCATTAGTAATTGGATTAGGACGGAGATTTGTGGATGTGAATGGGGTAGTGACGCACTAGCACTTGTTCCACCCTCGAGAATGAATTCTCCCGCGTTGTATTCGGCAATGTTGTCGCCGTTCGCTGCGACGTCGGGGTACCCGCGTCCCAGGCGATTGTAAATTCCGCCGTTTTTGCCGAAGCTGGCGTTGCCTTCGTAGTAGGGGTAGGGTGGGTTGTGGTTTTTGAAGTACCTGATTTTTGTTAGACTGGAGCACATTTTAGATCGGAAGAACGTACTCTGCGACTGCTTCGGCTTGGTAGTCTGGAATAGTGTAGATGTTGCTGAAGCCACCGCCGGAGGAGTACGCGATCGAGTAAGGGTGGCCGGCCGGGTCGACGACGGCGCTTTCCCCATCCGCGATGGTCTTTCCGGGGTAAAGCTTCGTGGCGCCGACGTTGGTCACGTAGGGGCAACTAGCAAAATTAGACATGGCTTTCGAATAAAACAAAGGCGCTCATACGAGTTAGGGAATGCGGGACTGAAGATGGTCCCGTTTCCGAGACAGCCGTTGGTCGAGTCATCGCCTGGGGGACCTGCGACGCCGTCATCGCCAGAAGCGAAGAGGATGGAAGTTCCTTGGAGCCCAAGTTTCAAGAATCTATTGCTCTTGTTAATTTGGCACTGCGCCAGTAGGGGTGAGAGATTCATACTCATTGCATTGCCGCTGCTGATAGTAAGCAGGGAGGTCCGCCTCCTGGCCACCATAAGAGACGGAGATCACGTTCGTGGGCTTGTAAACACCACACATCAACTGTCCCTTGTATCCACCCGTGGAATTGTCCGGATAGGTTGGATCGAGGGTCGGGCTGTTTCCGCATTCTCCGTAGGCACAATATGTGCAGTATGACTGAATCGTTAGCTTAATACCAAAAGTCCAGTGAGCCAACTTACCCCATCGACGGCATCAAGGAAAGTGTTAAAGAAGCCATCCGTTTCAATCTCCCCACTAGCATAGTTAGAGTCATCTGTCTGATAGAGCGTAATGCTCTGAGGATAGACGATTGGATACGCGAGCTGAAAGTCCAAATCAGACTCCGCACCAGCATCAGCAACAGGAACGGGCGCTGACGCTCCATCGATAAATGCCGGCTTAGGGTGTGTCCCTTTCGGGATGTACGGAGTGAAGTTGCGGAAAAAGAGATCCAGATCTTCCTGGGCGTAGTAGTCTCCTTCTTCGAAGATTCCAAGCGAGTTGCTGGCGCTGACGTTGGCGCTTGCATGAGGAATCTTGTACAGAGCGGCAACACAAGCGGGAGTAATAACCTCGTCGCAAGTGCTGAGAGACGTCGCGTTAACTGATGTCTGCTTCAAGGGCTTGTACTTCTTGGTGTGCTTGGCAGATGGTCCCTTGGAGGTTAACGGCAGAAGGACTCCAGGTTTAACGAAATCAATGTGTTGTTGGATTTTCTGCGGGACGCGGTACCTAATTGTCTGTTATTATACATTAAGTCTCAGGCATTGGAATGGGAGCATACTCTTCCGCTGCTAGAGCTTTGAAACCGGAGACCTTGTCGGTGTAGTGGTAATACTTGGTGTGGAGGAGGCTTTCCGCTTCTTTGGTAGTTGCATCAAACACAATCCAACCTTGGTTTTGGGTGTGGATCAAACGAGACTTGTCCACACCGGATTCAATAAGCCAGTTTCGCACCGCATCAACAGTCTCATTTGACGGTGCAAAAGCGCTGTGTACCTCTTCTTGAGTCCAGAATTTGCCGTAATTAGGCGACACAGAATCGGACCTGACTAGTTAGTCGGAATATTTCATGAGGCAGGGGATCAACATACACGCTCATGAGATACTCATACGCGCGATCAAGATTGCTCTGTGTCAGACCAATGCGCACCAAGACATGCTCAGTGCCATTGACCCGCCCAATCTTCTCCCATTTCGAAGGTGTACCAGATCGCTTCTCATGAATGACATGATCGGAGGTTGGCAAGGCCAGTGCAGAGACCGCGAGAGTCACACTGCAAAGTGTTGAGAAGAACCTCATACTGACTCCTTATCCCGTCTGTACTCTTCTCCAGTGCAAGAGTAGTGGTGACCAACACATTCCGGCAACCTTCTCTTTATGTTGGATAGCCTCCGACGCAACCCCGTATACACTCCGACGGGGTTGCATCCTTTCGGCATCCAATTCATATTAGGGCACGGGAACTAGCAACGCCTCACTTCCGTGAGGAGAACAGACCCTTATCGGACCATCGTGAATATATAGTTATGTAACTAAATGTATCTTATCCACCATTGCGACCAATAATGTCCGGAGATGAGTGAAGGATGATTAAATGTCTTGCTTTTAGACGTCAATGGCGCCATGTGAGTGCGGACACCTGACGGGTGGTTGATTAATCGGAGAGGGGTACCCATGCATGCACGGGATAATAGCTATCATATACTGCCCTGTCATGCCTAGCAAACCCAGCTATTTGCAGGTCAATTTACGTTGGCTGTCAGATTGACGGGTTTGACCGCTATTCATCGTTATTGAAAGGAAGGCGTCGCCGAGAATAGATAGTCATCTGATGCGAAGGAGATAACGGTGGATCGAGGTCTGGAAATCGCTAGGAAGATTGGATGTCGTCTTGTGGATGAGAAGGAGCCATTATGAGGGGATAATTACCACCCTACACAGGACTGAGGGATTCCTATCTACTATCTATCCATCTGCGCTTGAAATTTTTGTTGGGCATTTGGTGTCTAAATTTTCGATTACAGTGTAATTTTACCAGACTTTTGAAGTCGCCTTCCTTTTCCGCTCTAGTACGCCGGGTATTAGCGCATCGGACAAAATTGATTTTTGAGACAGCCGTAGCCCAGCTTTTGCTCTGTGGCTACAGCTCGGGAGGTGAAGTGTGCATATACTAAAGTGCGTGGCATATGTAAATGTTCCCGGGGAAATTAAGAATCGGGTGACAGTAGTGCCCCAAGCGATCTTCTGTCAGAGCTCAAAATATTTTTTATCAACGTGCGTTCACATCTAAGAGGTATAAAATGAAGATACGGAGGTACAGTTCTTATCATAACATCTAGGAGTATGTATAATCCCCCAATTTCTCATAGTCAAGGGAGACATGATTTCAGTACGGAAAGTTTGCTAAGAGGCAATTCATTCAATTAGCTTCACGGCAAACAAGCGAAAATCTAAACTGGTAAGGATCTTGGCCACTATGGATAATTTACAGCAGCTAAGCGGTTAGAGGCTCTTCGTAGCTTAATTATACTCGTTAAACTTCGCCCTCCACGAGAGGTGGAGTAGAAGAGTGGCACAGACAGGGAGATGTTTTGCAAGGATTCCTCGGAAAATATACCCGATTGCTAGGCGTGTTCATAGGATGACCCGTAAATCTTTCTGGTATCCAGACAACGCATACTAATTCTTGACAATTGCGGCAGCCCCTGCCTCATTCATGATTATATTGGCAATTCGGTCACGGTATTTAGGAAGACTCACAGATTAAGATTCAAAACCTGGATGAGAGACCACAACGTGTGTAATCGTACCTTATTCCGTGGAATTGATCTTAGTACTACGAGCAGCATCGGAATATTATTTATTGCAATGGAACACAAGTCTCCATACATATTTGAATTCTCTATCGACTACACTGATTATAAGGATATAACTGTGTTAGTATCGCTATTCACATCCACAAATCTCAACATTCCGTCGGAAGAACACACTCGTCGTCCTGGAGCTATGTTAGCTGGAAGTATACCAAACAATAGTACTGTATAACCCACATCGTTCAGGATATACCCTGTGATGCATTGACACCCCGCGGCGCATTCAAGTCGGCAGGATGGAGTCAGGTTAGTACATGTTACAGGACAGGGTGTACCGCATTCCGTATATTCCTGATTGGTTCCCTGGATAAAACTTCTTAGCCTTGTGATTGACATGATATGAGGGTATCAGGTTCATACACATTGGCTTTGGGCAGCAGCCAGGAGTGGGGTGCCTAGAAGGCTAAGGGCAAAGAGGAATGAAAATTTCTTCATAATGAATCATGGGTCTTGCGTCAAAGGGTCTTCGGATTTCTGATGAGCGTACTTCAGGATAAAAAGATTAACCTAGCAGAGCATGGGGAATGTCGGCTGTATTTATATGTTTGGAAGCGCCATGCCCAGCATGACGTACTTAGTCTGGGTATACTAGTATGGTTCTCAGAAATCTACTATATGTAACTACATAAACGGTGCGTAAAGATCGTCAGCGTTGTCAGTGGACCTTCGATTTCTGTTAGCCTACTAATAATCTAGGATATTCCTACTTGCTTGAAAAGATGCAGTAGTGCTCGTCACATATTTGCCACGAGTGAACCAATAGATGGTACTAAACATCTTTTCGCACTCAGCTAAACTATATTGAGAATCTGAGACGATGCGTATCTAAGGGTTGTTGGTTCTATTAGTGCACCTCCGATATCAGCCAGCCCACTACGCACAATAGATTAATATCCAATATACAAAGTACCCCACCAATTTCAGGCGCTGGATAACCTCAGCTTGGGGGAAATAATACGAAAGTGGGCAGTCTCACATGCGGCGGGCATAGATATCAGTGCGGGAAATATTCTGCTGAGGCCCATCGGGTGATATATCCGACTAGATTTTGGGAAGCCGACCCAAGGATTTTGAACATTGGTTAGCCATGAGATCTATTATTTTAGGGTACTTAAGGTTTCGGCGATCGTCCGTAAACCTTTATCTTATTTCCAAAGCACTCCCTTTTATTACTTGCAGAGCCGACGAGTATCAGGATATTAAGAGATCATGTGTATGAGGTCAGTCTGCGTCAGGATGACTCTAACAATATCTTATCTGACCTATTTTTCCATCTCCGGTTCGACACTGCTGCACTAAATTCTGACTCCGGTACTCAGGTAATTTTTGAATCCTAATGCAGCTGATGACTCTTAGCCGGAACACCTCTGTGATAGTGTCTATAGTATACTTGCCACAAGTGGGTGCATGTGTGGCAATCAATACGTGGACACAGGCTATTCGAATTTTCTTGAGATTAGCCAAGACTGCCAAAGTCGTTCATTGGCAGGAATATATTATGAGAGGGGTCGAAGCTGAAGCCGTGGGGCCGGAGCTGAAGGTGCGGAGTGTGAGCTGAAAGATTGTGGGGCAACCGGGGCAAATATTGCCCACTATTATTCTCACTACCAACCCCTGACCACCAGTCTTACTATTAATTATCTTGTTAGCTAGGATTTACTCAGTCAATCACTTACTAGTGATTTCAAGTATGATGATGTCTGATAGTGAGTAAATTATACATATGGACACATATTTCTGGATGTTTTCGTCTCTATTACCTCCGCCACAAAACCCCTAACATGTGGCGAGCTTTTTCATCTACTTTCTGAGTCTACTAGTGATGTTACTGCCAGGAATGCTCCCTAGGTGTATAAACCCTTAAAGATTAATATATATCAATAAACTATGGTTTATAGAGATATATTGCCACTAATGCAATATGGCTAGTATAATATATGTATACCTTGGTTTGTTTCAACACTCTGATAGAAGAACACATTGACCACTTTGGTGATTTTAGCTTGGAAGACATATATCAGGAATACTGTAGAACTTACATTATTTAGAAAATAGCTTTTGCTACGTTGAGACTTCCGAGAAAACCAAAGGACACATGATTGGATTCGGGTCAGAATTACAAGATCGGCCTGCCCTGGCACTTGACTGGGTCTCTGGTGCCTTTTGTGAAACACTTTTCGCCTGCTCAGCACACTACATATTTGAAATGCAGACTTCAGCATAGCTATATGTTTAACGTGGAGGGTAGATTATAAGAGATAATTGTGATCACACAATTAACCAATCTAGGAATAGCTTCCGGCTACAGTATTCAGTACACTAGCTCGCCTCAATCCTATAACAGTATAGGCCCTCAGCTTCTAACATTGCGATGGAAGAATGCATGCACCAGCCTGGACAAGGTTAGTTGAGATAATGTATATCAATGGTAGGGGACTCACATCATTCAAGACATAGCCTTGGATACACTCGCATCCGATCACACATTGAAAAGTACAGTCAACCTCCGGTCCAGAAGTGCATGTCTGGGGACATGCAGAACCACACGTAGTATACTTAGAGTTCACTGGCTACATAAAATTCAGCTTTCAGAACAGAATTATCCAAGGGTGTAAGGTTCAAACACAAGGGATTTGTGCGACAGCAGTCGGAAGTAGAGTACCTAGAAGTCCAAGGGCGAAGAGTAATGAAAAGTTCTTCATAATGATATATCTTATATCACACGATCTTTGTACCGTTCTTCAAATAATATGCCAGTGTCCCGGTATGGCCTGGCGGAAATTGTCAGTTTTTATATCTTTGTTAGACATGATAACAGCATCAGCATTATACGACCCGGTCAACATAACTCACCCCTTCGGGAATGCATGTACAAGCTGATGAGGTTTATCACATTCCTCCACTTGTAACCAGGACAATTGAGCTGCGAAGGCATCAACTAACGAGATGAGAGCTTACAGAAGGCTTGAGCATGTCGCGTGATAAGACCTGATAATGTGATAGGAGGTGCCTTTGCAGTTTGCTAGCTTGTCGAATAGCAACAAAACAACACTACGGGCTGAAAGTGAACATCATTGTGCATAACCCATCTTCCCGGGTGAATGGAAATATGCGTTCTGGGAAGTACGAAGTCACAAGGAATCTGCTAGCTCGAGGAGGCTGGGTACCCAAGGATGAGTCTGCTGCACCTGGTTATAGACTAGTGGCATCTGTACAACATGCCTCTGATGATCAACAGAATACCCACCCCAATGACGAGACTTTGTCACAAAGAAGAAAACACTTACTTGATAGCTGGTCTCCTCAGACCTGAAGAAGGCCAATGGACTCTTGATAAGTGGAGAGCTTTTGTTTTGTATGATAGTGATGCAGTGTTGCTTACATGAGAAAGCTCGAGAATGAACCAGGCCCTTATCTGGGACCTCCTAGCAAAACCAATGAAGTCAAACCAGGAGTGACGAGTAAGGAGATCCCACCAGTAGCGTATGAAGAATGGTAGCCAGTCGTTCATTGCCCCTGTTGTGTGACATTCTTATAACAAAAAGAAACGATAGCCGAGATATGTGCACCCGTGACAGAGTTCAATTGCTTTTCCTACCCCGCTCCTTATCACACCGCCGCTATAACAGGAACAAATAAGACCACTTGTGTAATCGTCGGATAATATATCCGATCGAGAGAATAGATTACTCTCTCCTCTCACCCTCGAAGTTCAATCGATATTCAAAATTGGTGCAGCATTTTGGACAGAAGAATTACTATCACAAAACAACCAAATGCGAGAACCTCCCACTCAACCTTCTTCCCCACCACCTTCCCCAATTCCCCCATCACGATCTCAGCAATGCTCAACACCGACGTCGCCAAATCCATCAAGGTCAAAAACGGGACTTCCACACCTATCGAACTGAATATATACTGTCTTAGCTCCGCCAACAACATACCATTAATGCCATACCCACTCAATGGCAACTTCAAATCCAACTTTCGTAGCGGTAATAGAATAATTTTTGACATCTTCTTCGCCACTGCTCAAACCACCGCTTCGCGTAGTTGCTTCTCGTCGCCTGACGCCAGTACAGTTTGAACTACCACGTAGGGGTGTTGCTTCCGTCTTCGGACTGGGATGCCTGGCGCTGCAGAGCGTTGATGAGTACCGAGAAGCGGATGTTGTCTAGATTGTGCCAGAAACCTGTAAGCCTCGTTTGCGGTGATCTTGAAGTCCGGTTTTTTCGAGGCCATTTAGAATGTGGCATTGTGCGAGACGATACCGAGGGACGGTTTGTTCTTGATCGATCTCGAAAAAGAGGGCGAAGTCGATGGCTTGGAGGGCTTCATTCTCAGGGAGTGGGCGGATGCCCTTGCGAAGGAGGAGCTCGCCGATTTCGCTGTGCCCATGGAGGTATCCGAGCTCAGATATAGCGCACAATCCGAGGTAGATGGCGAACAGCCCTAGACTCCGGCGATAGCTAACAAACACGTCCAAAAGTGGTTTTCAGCACAATATTTGCCTTAAGCGGCTGTGCCAATCTCTCCAGCGACGGAGCTAATCAAAAGCAAGAATCCAGAGCCGACTCGTACTTGAGTTTGCTCAGGGTTTTGGTGAATGTTCCATGTTCCATGTTCCACGCACTTCGGCCTGCGTGCCTGTGAGCTAGTGCGCGCGAGGCATGTGCTCGAAGATGGCTTCGTGGAGGCTCATAGCCGCCTGAATCACTCCCCCTAGAGGCGCATCAGCAACTGCTGCCGCTACTACACGCTCGACGTCTTCGTACACAATGTCGTCGCCGGTTACGACGGTACAGCGTCCACCAGTCTCTTTCAGCTCCTGGACAATTTGCCTGGCAGCTGGCTTGGCTAGACCTGTGCGGCCAAGGAATACGAAGCAACGGGCTCCGCGGCTCACCATCCACTGTGATAGACTTCTACTGAGGCGGCGTAGACAGCCGACCATTGGGTAGGATTTGTTTGAGTGAGGACGGTAGTGTAGAGCTCAGGGACCATGGAAACGATTTTGGTCTGGCCTCAAGGAAAATACGATCTTACCTATCCGGTAGGCGTTATTGAAGTGGTTACAGGCGGCACTTAGTTTTGAGATGGGGAATCCAAGGGCTCCTGGACGGGGTGAATATGTCCGGCGCATATCAATGGCATTTACAACGTCTACTCGTCTATACATTGAAATGTTGGTTCCGCGCAGTCATAGGAATGGGTTAGGGGTGATGATGGTATCGGAACTTCGGACTCACCCATCAGCTGAAGTATCAGAGGCATGGCAGATAGATGTTAGCCACAGGAACCCGCCCTGGGATACTGTGGCATGTCGCTCGGGAGACTGAATCAGGTTGATATGTACTATGGTGGCTGAATCGCACTCGTTATTCTGTAATGCAGTACAAGCAAGGTCGAGTGTGTAGGAAGGGGATGAATAACCTGTGTCTACTTTATAGCTTTGCCCTTGGGGGTTGAAGACATAACTGATGCGGTTCCCGAGGATAGTGGCGTCTATTTCCAGGTTACTATACTGTGTTAAGCTCCCTGGGTCTTTGTCTGTATGGCAATGTAATATGGTGTGACTGATGCCCCTGTACTTATGGTAAGCAACTTGAGTCTTGATTAAGTCAATTATAAGGCAGGTGATGTACTATAAACTCCCGCATTGGCAACGCATAGTTCATCTAAGGCTCCGACGGCACTATCAAAGGTCCCAAATATTATCTCTAGTATTTTTCTCCGCGGAGTGCTCATAACAACTGCATCGCCATTATTGATTCCGAAGAACTGTTCATCGAATTTACGATTGTCATCGAGGATAAGGTTCGTCTAATAGGGTAGTTGTGCCCGGCTTATCCTTCTTGCCCCTATAGCCATGGGTGTTGAAATGATTATTAGAGACCCACCCAAATTAGAGCGGGTTTCTCTCATGAATTCCCAAAGCTGAGCGGGATTAGAAACATCGCGGGGAAGCTGGCGGCCTGAATAATTCTGATGTAAGATTTGTTCAATTGCCGGGTTTTATCGACGATGATGATAAGGTTGGTATTTACTAGTACCGCCGGCGGTAATAGTCATGCCTGTTTGCCGCGCACCGGCAGGAGTACCTGGCAGTCCTGAAACTGCGTCGATGTCTGGCAATTGCATGGTAATATTCAGGTCTCTGCGACGTCATGCACACTATATAGCGTTTTTGAAAGGGATACATTCGAGTTGCTGTCTAGGCACCTCAGAATTGAGGTACATATACAGCACTGTGACTCCAGTTCATAAAATGAGTATATTAGATAACTACTACGGCATTACATCTAGAAGTTCGGGGTTATTTTTCGAGACATTGATCGGGTTTCAAGACATTTGGAGAAGGTTCCCGGAGCTAGAAGGGACCTGCCCACTGTCAATTGTCTACGTGGGGTAGTGGAAGCAGGTTGTTAGTGCAAGGGACGCAGCCGTGGTTTGTGGGTTGTCAGTGAGAGGGCGCTTAATGGAGACCTGGAGACCCAATTGGGCTGCGCAATTAGCTCAATACCATCCAGATAGTACGGAGTATGAATTCCGGAATGAGTTCATCTATTACTGCACTTAAACACCGGCAGTAGTGCGACAGAATGTGAGGTTCTATAATCTAGGCGCGGCAGCACCCGCGCACGCCCCCTCCTCCAGCCGCCGTATTATCCGAACTCCTGTCTCATGAGGATGGCAACAAATTTAATAGTTCCCTAGCTTAGATTATCACTGGCTACGGCGGTTAATAGCGGCCATCGGGCAAATGTGTTGAAGTCCCTTCACCGCTCTGCATACCGCACCCGAATTAGAATTTTATGATACTCTGTAGGATGCTGGAATAATAAATAATAATAAATAATAATAAATAAAAATAAATAAAAATAAATAATCATAAATAATTATAAATAATTATAAATAATCATAAATAATTATAAATAATTATAAATAATCATAAATAATTATAAATAATTATAAATAATCATAAATAATCATAAATAATCATAAATAATCATAAATAATCATAAATAATCATAAATAATCATAAATAATCATAAATAATAATTAAATTATATTTAATTATTAATTTAATTAATTCAAGGGCCAATATTCAATTAAAAATCCTAATTTAATATATATAATTAAATAAATTATTTTTTAATAAATTATAAATTTAATATAAATCTTATTAATAATTATATTAAATATTTAAATTTAAATTATATTCTAACCTGCTCCTAGAATATTTTAGAATTAAATTATTTAATTATTTAAATATTAATAATAAATTAAAATACTGAATTAAAAGACTTATTATTTATTATTTATAAATTTAAATTTATTATATTATTTAATTTTAAAATTGGTTATTATATAATTAATATAAAATAATAATTAAAAATAAATTATAATTATATAATTTATTAATGATTAAATTTACTTGTCATGATAAAAAATTTATTAATTAAATAAAAATTAATTATTAAATATTAAAAATATTATAGCAGATCCGCTGGCTTATTATAATTTATTTTTTATATTATATTTTATTAGTATTCTTAATAATATAAAAATTAATAATTAGTTTCTGTGATAGTGAATAATATAATTTTTATTTATTTATTAATTATATATAATTTAATTTATTTATTTTTATTATTTATATATATAATTAAATTTATTATATTTTTTATATTATTTTTTATAAAAATCATAAAATTTTTATTATTAATAATAATTCTATAATTCTTATAATTATTATAATATATTATTTTAATAATATTACTTTTAATCATTCTAATAATTTAATTATTTTATTAACTTATTAAATAATATTATATATAGAATATTTTTTATTCTTAAATTTTAATTTTTAGAAATTAAATAATTTTATCTTAAAAGAATAAATTATAATAATAAAAATTTAATAAATAAATATTATTTTATTGATTATATATCTATATCTATATTATAATATATAAATAGTTTTAAATTTTTAAAAATATTAGTTTCTACTTTCTAACCAGAAAAATTATACATATAATAATTAAATTTTATATATATATATATAAATATATATTAATAATAATTATAAAAATATAATATTGATTCAATTTTATTTATTTTATATAAATAAAAATTTATATAATAGTTAATTCTATGATTAAAAAATATAATAAATTAGAAATTATAAAAAATATATATTTTAAGTCTAGTAACTTAGAATTCTAGTTTTTTATTATATATTTTACTTCTATATTATAGAATAAATTAAGAAAATTATATATATAAGATTAAAAAGATTATTATTACCTGCAGTTATCTGTAAATCTTTAGAATCCTGTCTATATAAATATATATATACAGGAGTAGGTGGTTGTTACTACTAGTCTATTTATATTCTGAAGTATACCAGGAGCGGATCATGATAAATTCTGCCGGCAGTAAACAGCAAAAATTGGATTTGCCCGATGGCCGCTATTAACTGCCGTACACTGGCCGACCCCTACCTATCATTCATCCAGTCTATCGACGTACTTCAGCTACTTGGTTGATAAAGCTTGCAGCAATTATAAAGACCGAAAGGGGATGTAGCTATAGTTCATATATATCTGGTATGATTATGTTTTAGAACAGCATTTCTAGCTCTATACGTGAGTAAATTGACTCAATCTTATGCGAGCTTGTTCTGAATACAGCAGGGCCTCGCTGCTAGACTTTAGAAATAACAATGCAAACTTCATGTAACATATCTCTGCAGAATGTTCAGGGGGCCTCAATGTAAACCGCTATATCCTGTCATTCTGCTTATCTCGTCTTGACAAACCCTATACTATATAGCTCGCACTAACTCCGCCCCCATAGTGGAGCGAACCCTCCCCCTTCACTTCTCACTTTTCTGCCTCTCACCCTCCACCACAATCCCCTCCTCCCCAGGAAACCTAGGCGGTCCACCCAAACTACACAGAACCGCCTCCCCATCCGCCGTCAACCCATCCAAAACTCCCAACTCCTCCGATCCAAACCACCTCGGCATAACCCACACCCGGAATGGAATCAACCCTATAATCAGAATTGGGAACCCTATGGCCGCAATAGTCTGAGAGATAGCCACGCACGCCGCGACCCCCACAATCTGGCACATCACATATAGTATAATCTTCCGCTTGGGAACACGGAGTAATTTCTCATCCCGCGGGATGAACCGATCCTCCCGAAGTAGAAAAATGATCTTTTGCAGGATACCGTTCGATTCAATGGAGCCCCAACCTACTATGAAGAAGACACCTGCGAAGACGGCAGCGGGCATGGTGTGTAGGACTATCAAGAGGGGACCTGTCATGGTGCCTATTATGGCCAGGCCCATGAGGAAGTGGGAGATGCGTTGCTCGATCACGGCTATGGGGGTGGTTATGGGGTGGCGGAGTTCAGTACCCTCGGGGTTATCTGGGTCGGAGGTGGGGATGATGTGGAGGGTTGTTTCGGTGACGGCTAGGGAGGTGGTGTGTACAGGGGCCTGGGTTGGTAGGTTGTTTTAGTATGGGGTTTATGTGCGTGGGGGAAAAGTGAGTTGGGGGGTTGTACCTGTGGGACGAGGCCGTTGGGCATTGGGATGCCGGTGATTCCGGCGATGAAGGTGGTGCAGCCTAAGAGGAAGAAGTCCCAGTGGAACCCGGCTGGCTTTTTCAGGGGGTATTGTCTACCTTGAGCACCCAGGCTGCTGACGTTCTGCTCGGTGTTAGTATGTCAACCAAGGTAAAATGCTAGTCGTGCTGACTGGTGGCGATGGAACCACTTACATGGTCATAATAGAAGAGCAGCATGACCAAGAACCCGAAAGGTAGGGCTGCAAAGACCCATTTTGTCTCCAATTCCCAGAAGTGAATCAGCCAACCACGCGGCTGTGTTGGATAAAATGCCCGAGTAATGGGCACGAATGAAATACCAGTCTCCTTGAGGTTGCCGGGGATATGTGCAAATCCTACCCAGAAGATGGTTCCGATCTGATGAACAGTAAGTCGAAGGGATCAAAGTTTTGCAGGAGTTCGAAGGACGTGATCTTACCACATAAGCATAATCAGCCAATAGTCCACGAAGCCATGGTCGACAGATGGTGCTGGAACCCAACAGCTCTAGGCCGTAGATCGTGAAGAAGTACAGAATAGCGATCATGCAACTCATGAATCCTGCGGTTGGCCCGTAGACAGTGAACTCATTCACGAGCTCTTCGACGCCCTTTACTGCTTGACTTAGTACTAATCCCTGCAAGAAACTATTCTCTATCAGACTTACTACAATAGATAATCCCAACATATGCACCAAATGACTCAGATGAAAAGTCGGTCACATAGCGCATATAGTCGCAGAGGTTGCACACAGCAACAATCCAATGAAAGATCGCCGCCCAGATAGCAGTCCAGCACATGAAGTTAGCGTATATGGCAGGCTTGTATATGACTACAATATCATATATGGTGTAGTCGAACAGCGATATGAGTCCAGTGATACCGACAATAGTAAGTGGTTGTGCGCCTAGGACGCTGAACACCATAGCTGCGAGTGCCGAGGAAAACAGCGCTTCGTTAATGCCGTAGAACTCTCCTGTTCGGCGATACATATCCAATGTGTAGGCGATGGCAGGGAGAATACTGATTACGTTAGAGAAAACAATACAGAAGTGGTGTACTCAGGGACCTAGGACCTACTTAATGAAGTAAATGCGAATGGTACTTGCAATGGTTCGATAAGTGAGCGCATCTCGAATATCACTCCAGTAGTAGGGTAGTCGCCGACGGACATCGTGATACATGCCTCTGCATGGATTCAGGACACGAAAGCGTCTCCATCCTGTCCGGTTGTCATAAGAGTAAGTATATGGACTCTGCCTACTGAGGTATTTGGTGTCGGGCATGATGGTTTGGATGTGTGTCATGTATAGGAAGGGGACGGTACGAAGAGAGTGTCTCTTATTTATACTAACAATAATTGGGCCTGTACCAGACCTAAAACCCTTTCGCCTCTACACATATCCCAACCGACCTAGCCGTTTTTGTAGGGCCGAAATGGAAAGCTCTCATGTTGGGGTGGACGGTCAACTCCCCTTGAAGGATGCGTCAACACAACATACTGCTCGCACCCCTGGAGAGAAAAATACCTGATTCTAATATTACCTACTCTCTAGCACAAGAATTCCATATATATACTTTTAACCTGCCTAACTTGCCAGATCAAAGAACGATCTTGATAACTGGGTTGAGCGATGAGAAGGAAATTAGTCAGCAATTCTGCCCGAGCAGAATCTGCCCTTCTTGGCATCCCAGAGGTAGCCGATAGCCGAGTAAGACCCTATTCATGATAGTATGCTCTCAATATCTTCAGTAATAAGCTATTGTTGAGGTATAATGGATGCTATAGCACTAGCACTTGTCTCACAGTTGTCGAGCATTCTTCAGAACCCAACATTTCCGGCGCATCTTCAGTCGGCCGTACAGGCTATGCGGCAGAGTGTGAATAAGAAGCAGAAGAGTGCAAGTAAGGACGGTGGCTCGAAAGAAAATGGCGACTCACAGCTCTACCTGAAGATGGAAGCTTCAGTAGTCAATAAGGAGATGACGGAAAGAAGCGGTTTGACTTTGGTAATTATCGGTTTTCCACCTACGATTCCCACCCTTGCCTGACTTTGCCTAGGGATACATTGATCTTCAAAGTGGTCAGGCAGTGCCATTGCCACCCACCCCGGTCTCAACGCCTGACTCTAGGGTAGGTTTACTGGTGCCCAATAGCAGAATAGTACAAGTAACAGGTTTTACAGATTAGCACTGAATATGCTACTACCACCATTGACTCCAACAAATGCCGTGATAACGAGGACGCTCAGAGCTACCCCAACAAGCGGCGCAAGACCATAAGCAATCTTCGACCAGCAAAGGCGACCACCATTCATCCAGGCAGATCACTTGATGCTGAGTACGAAAGCTTATCCTCGGCAGCCGCTGCCGATTCCAGTGGATCCAAGCCTTCTGTGCGACAGGTGCACAGTGACACCCGCTTTCCGCAACGAAAGAACCCACGGCAGGAGTATTCGTTGCCTGTGCTGGAACCGACCTCGGCCGATAAGCTTATAGCAGGGATATGGCGACAGTTACATTCGCCTGTAAAGCTGAGTCGTCTGCCTTCGGTATGATTCCCTTATGAAAGGAAGTACGATTCATTCACTAACAGAACCAGATCATACAATCAAATACAGACATCCGAACCGGTGTTAGTCTTGAGGTAACTGTCCCGAGAGCATTAACATGAGCTTGACTAATATGAGAAGGTATTTCGCGAGATCAACACCCTATGCTTGAAATACTACAACCAAAGCCAATCCTCTCGTGCTCTGGAAATGATCGTCCAAGCATACTGGGTAGAATGTTTTGAAGCACGCGTAGCCGTTATCCGACTAGAGAAGCCTCAATCATCAATGACAGATGCGCGAATGATGGCTCTGAAGGAGGCTTGTGTGGTGCTCAATTGGAAGGAAAAAGATCTTCGTAATCGAATGTACTGCTTTCGCCTCTCCCATTGTCCGATTGCATGACTAACATAGACATAGGGCAATCTGGCGCGGTTACAAAGAAATCAAAGATACAGGCGGTTGGGCGTGCCTCATATTCGCCAGTACCGGTATATATCGATTCTGCAAGTATCGCACGGAGTTCGGGGAAGGATTGTTTACCCGCCTACGACATCTGCGATCCAGCTTCGAGGTAGCGGCCGACACTCTTCACCCGGGATGGCGGGACCTGCTGCAAGTTATCAGGCAAGATACCTCGATCGCCTATCACGGCCATCCGCATGAGTGGGTAACCTTGTCTGAGGGTCCAGCTGTCCCTCTAGCTTCAACATACGCGCATCTTGACCTTCCTCAAGGATTTCAGTACCAGTTCATTGACCAGAGTGTGCTAGATACTGCTGCCTTTGGGACACAGGATCCACGTCGTGTACCGGAGCTAGATCTCGATGTGTGTCTGGTATGCAAAGCAAGACAGTCAGATGAGATTGAGAAGAATCAATGCTTGTGCTTCCCGGCGCTATTTGGTGGTGTTAATCATCCGGTGCCGGTTCAGGTATTTCGGACGTCGACTGGGAAGAACAATGGTGTCATTGCGCGCTGTGTGAGTTAGCTTGTTTTATTTGCCGAGCATCGTGCTCTTCTTGTTTTTAGTCAGGTTACTGACGCAGAAGTAGAGCTTCGATCGCGGAACCGTCATAGGGGAATTCACCGGCCTCATCACAAACGGCATAGAAGGAGTAGACGTGATGCTAGGTGGATCGCGCGGTCGAACCTACCAAATATATCAGGGGCAGATGGGCAATTTTACCCGATTCATCAACCACTCGTGTCGACCGAACAGCCAGTTCCAACGGTTCTACTGGAGGGGCATGGAGCGCATAATAGTGGTCTCACGGGGCATTATGGCAGGGACTGAAATCACTATCGACTATTCAGATAATTATTGGCGCCAGTTGAGCAAGAAGTGTCTTTGTGGGGAGTCGTGTTGTCGATTTGCTGGGAGGGAGGGATAATATTCTCTACATGGGGCATGCTTGCTATGAGTTGGGGGGTGTATATGGTCGGCACCGATCCCTTTATGGGAGTCTGGACGGGATGCGGATGCCTGCTGGAGACCCTATTCATACTTCCCCTTCATTAACTAATGTCATTCACGAAATCATATGTGGTTAGAGCATTTCATATGCCCTGGTCCATGTCGCATTAGACTCTCCTTATCTGTTTGGGCCAAAGTGATTGTTGGGTACGGCATGACTGGCTCAATATCCAACCCGCTTTGAATTCTAGTAATAGAAGACCATCTAGACGCTTCATGGGGTAATGACGTTTTAGTCTCAGATTTTGAAAATAGCAGAGAACGTTTATAACAGGCTACAGTGCCTCGGAAGAAAGTCCTAAAAGCGGGGAGGGGGGTTCAAGATACGCGTTCGCAAGCTGAGCAGCAAACTGACCGATAGCATGAGAAGGAACGCACGCGCCACGACGTTATCTGTACCATGTCCTTTTATAGCCTCTCGTTTGATTGGCTTACGAGAATAGGCACTTCTTACGGGAGTTCTTGTTGGTCCAGTAACCGCAACTGCTCAGCAACCCCAATCCGGCCAAACGCAGATTTTTAGACCTTAGTATATGAGTTATAAGTATTTTTGTCTCTTGCTATCTATCTCAGCAAAAAGGATCGGTGTGTTTCTAGCGGGAAGCCGACTATTGCACCCTACTGTTCAACAGAATCCCCTCAACGACTCAAACGTTGACACGCCATTTTACGTACGGTACCACTTGCACGGTTCCACTGAGGCCTGTGTCGACGGGCTCCGGCAAGTGCCCGGGATCGGTGAGGCTAATAAGCGGTGGATAACCTGCCATTACGATGCGACCAAAGATGCTTCGAATACAATTCCACATTACGGTGGGAACCTCAATCACGACTTCGTTTCGTCCCTTCTGCAAATAAGAGCCGATATCTAGCTTGGGTGCATTGTAGTCGGGTGGTGGTATTTGGTGGCCGTTGACTTTCACGCGAAGAGTATGCAGGACCTTAGGGAGCAGGATATATGCGCCGTCTGCCGAGCCCGTATGGGGTGGCCAATCGAAGCCGGTACTGTAATACCCCAGTCCAGATGCATTCGTGAGGCTTGGTATCTGAGTCCATGGGACGAGGGCGTCCAAGTGGTGGGTGGTGTTAAACTTATAAGCGATCCGGGAGGCATCAGACAAGTTGGCCGGAGAGGCCCAGTGCTCCGCCGTGAGGGACCAGTTGCCGAGGCTGAAACTCTTTGCTACTCTCTCGCCAGGAGGGAAGGTGTAGTTTCGGCCATTGGAGAGGACAAGAGGCCGGTCAATCGGTCCAGCGGTGGCATGAAGCTCAAGTGAGTCGGAGGAGTTTCTTTCAAATTCGTACCCTTGGATCGTGGAAGGGGCCTGAATGGCGTGAATCTTCGGTGCACGTAACCACTGAACGGAAGGCCCGCTAAAAGCGATCAAAGTAGTCTGATTTGCCTCAAGCGCGAGAGGAATGATGGTTTTGCCGTCAGCCTGATGGTACTCAAGTACCGGCTTACAAAGCCCAGTCCACATGTCAAGAAGATGTGGGGTTTTGTCGCTGGACACCACAAGGTGTCCAGTGCTGGCCTCACCGTCATTATAGACGAATGCGAACTGGACATCTTCCCTGACTGACTCACGCCAGGTCGTGTACCAGGTGCTGTTGGTTTGTACTCGAATTTGAGGATCCAGGTTGAGAGAAGCTAACCTTCCAATCAGCTCGCCTTCGGAGACCGCAAAGACGTTCTTGGTGTGTTTCAGCTCAGATATAGCCTCTGTGAATATTGCGTGACTAGGAGCGCTAGCAGTGGCGTATTGGGGCGGATCCCCACCAACTAAGATGACCGGTAATCCGCCTCTGCGAATTGTCGAATCTTACTGATGGAATCGTATGTCACATTTGACGTGCCGTAAATAAGTAGGGCCTTGTAAGCTGGGCTGTCTGGTCCAAGGGTCATGTTCCCGACATATGCTTGCTCAAGGTTCAAGTTTTCAGGGGATAGGTAGTTGTAACTATAGCCTACGACAAAAATGTCAGCTAAGGTGAATGGGCAGCTGATAAGGGACAAAGAGGCCTCGCTTACCTGCATCAATCAGCCCAGTCATATTTCCTGCGTGCCAGCGGAAGCTAGGGTCCGTGGCAGACTGCTTGTTGTAGACAGCGATATCCGTCTTCAGAGGACCTGCTTGTTGACTGAATTGAAGCCGGCTCACGTATTCCAGGAAGTCGGCGAAGCCATGATCCCAGGCCGGCTGTTTATTCGACCACAATTCACCGTAGAAATATGAGAATGCGGTATAGCCTGGCCATGTTGTTGCCCAGTAGTTCCCAGTATAGGACAGACCATGAATGACAAACTGATTGACGCCTCCCACAACCGCGCGGTTGATAGACCACAATAGACTAGAGATCTTATACCGGAATGCAGCCATGGACACGGCGCCCATTTCGTTGGATACGATCCTCTTGCCCGCCAATATAGCCGGTCCAGAGAACTGCCTGTAACCATCAATATTGTCCTGGAATCCAAGGCTCTCGTATTCGGGTGCGTTCACTACGGGAACAGTCGCCTCCATATCCATGGGAAGGTTGTAGGCGGGCTGTACTGACATCTGTAGACCGAGATCTCTCGTCGCCCATTCTGTCAGTCTCTGTAAATACTTACTGTATCCCTCCACCAGTGCTTCGCGAAAATCGTTGACGTAGCGAATCCCTTCGTCGAGCGCGTCCGTAACGCACTGGACGGGCCCCGGATTGCTTGACTGGATGGCAATATTATTATTGTCAAACATTATCAAGGGCAAATATTTGATGAGACTGTATCCATGCTTCTGCTCAAACAGGTTCGGAAGGGACCTGGACCAGGAGATATTCGATTTGATTTCGATGCTGTCCTCCCAGGCTATAAAGCATGTTAGACAGGATTTAGAGGAGTCATTCTACCTTGGGCCCGTCTTACCATAGTTTCCCACTTCAGCAAGCAGGGATCTCACATTCTCATTGAGGACGTATTTATCCCAGAAATCGATCACCGTTTCGGCGCCCCGGGAACTAAAATGATCAACCATATATGCTCCGTTTTCAACAATCGCATCCGTTTCATTCGACGTGAATATTAAATTTTGATCCTGGGTCAACCGTTGATAGAATGCGAACAGCCAGTATGTGCGTTGGCTGGAGCTTGTGGGATAGGTGATAGACAGATGTCCAGTGGAAGACACCTCATCAGTTCGATCCGTGAGCGAAGATTCTTTGACAACGAGACGAGTGTGGGGAACATGAGCAGAGGACAACGCAGTTGAATTATCAATTCTTTCCAACACTTCGGCTGAAATGACTGCAAGTAGTTCACTGGTCCCCCATCCCGGAATGATCCCAGCAAAGGTTCCATTGGCAGGAATCGCTGTCGAGAATGGTATCTGATGGAAAGAGAAAAGAAGGCGGGAACGTCAGCTCACAATTCAAGGTAGATGACCTCTTTTCGCCGCAGGGAAAAGAGGAAAAAATGAGGATATTGTGATAAAGCTTTTCAATCTTTTACCACTTCTCGTAGACGTACCAAGTCCCACTGCAGGCCTTCGTCATTGGGATCCGCCGGTACACCCTGCTCTTGATTGGGTCCGATGGCAAAGTCCATCACTGTACCAGCATCCCGATGGGCTTCTAGAGCAGTCTGAAACAGTCTGTTAAATGCGGGTGTGCCAACTCCGTATCTGCCCCAGTCGTCCCCTGGAGGAGCAGGACCAAGGAAGCCGCCGGCGTTATACCAAGGCAAGTATTCCACGCCTCCAGCTCCCACATTTGCGGCTGACTTTATGTCGTCTCTCATGGTCTGCTCATCAACGCTGGGATCAGGAAGCCAGTATCGAAATCGAGGCCGTGTGACCGCTGATGGGCTTAGGAATGTTCCGGGATCAATGTCGCCGGAGAATTGGTCATTGCTGCCAGCCCTTGAGCAGCATACTGTAGAAGTCAGAGCAAGAACTGCCCATAGGCTGGATCGAAACATAAACATCAGGCCGTGGGGGATATATTCGAACGGTTTGACTCCTTATAATGTGAGATGAGGGGGGTGTCAACCCATCATTTAAATAGGCGATAGGGAAGATCCGTCTAAACAGGCATCTTTAGGACGCCACATGGCACCGCTGATTGAGGATACTGATTCACATTATTATCGTATTCGTGTTCGTAATAGCGCTGAGAATTCTGCCCTTGTACCGATGACGACCCCAGAGAACATCGGTTTTCCACCCTGAACCAGGGTGATCATTACCATGGGTTTGCTACCCAGTCTCTCCCAGGGTGCCTAATCTGTATTGTTGCGTACTCGGGGTCACTCTGACTCTTTGACCTTGCTGGTGATAAGTCCCTTGGCTTTGGATCCCTTTCCTCTAAACATATTCTAGGAAGGCAGAAAAGGCAGTCATATTGTCGCCACTGGCTGATCATCTAAACATTCATCAGGTACCACTGTAAATTCCACATATTGCCATCTCGTCGGTCGCAGCTATTTTATGTGCTTCGGTTTTCTATATAAGCGTATACCCCTTCTACCCAGTGCCATAGCGATATTTTCTGTCGCAGGGCTAACAGCTGCACCAAAACAACATATTCTGGCTGTTCGGCCAGCTGACGGAGGGATCTCCCCTAGCTTCTAATAATTTGTGTAGTGGTGTTCATAGAGTAAAGGCCAACTTGTTCCTGCTCATCAACATACTTGATTGATTTTCTCAGGCGCACTTTTTGCTTCTCTGCAAAGATTCTGCCGGGCAAATTGGTTTATGATGCATGAAGCGATTACTGTCGTGACATAATTGGCCGCACGATATACTTCAGTGCCCCCACGGAATTTGCAGATCGATCTGAGGATATAACAACGATACATATTGGCCGCGATAAGCAAGATTTTAATTATATAGATCAACTGCGGTTTAGATCCTCTGCCTTTCTGACACCTTGCATTCTGTGAAGGAGCCGGCATTCCGATTCGAAGCGAGCCAAATATGCACGTTGCGTCGCATATCTCGTGTAAACCCGATCCGAGGTCTACAACCTGTGACAGTATACTAAAAGTAGAAATAAATGTGGTTATCGGGTATCTAGTGTGTATAATTACAATATTCTCAAGTTGAATGTCATCGAGCTTTGCGCCGCTGTCGTCTAGTGCCTAGGATTGAAGGGCGATGTACTTCACTCTGCGAAGATCGAGAATATAATCAGGACTTTAATATGATGTCTCTATGATTATGTCGTTTACTTTACCAGAAAAGGAAAATTTAAAGCTAAAGATATCCGGCGGCCGGCTTGACGAGGCATTGTAGGGGAAGACGCATATCGTATTTCCAGATATGCGACCCAAAAGGGAAGTTTAATCTGAACGCTGTAACAAAGCATGTTAAATCCCGTTCCATAAGGCGATTCACAGGGAAACTATACTGCCAAACCTGGGCGGGAGCGCTGAGGAGGTGGAGAACTTGTCGTTCAGCAAAAGTAGCTTGGGATCGTGATTGAGAAGGCCACGCGGTTCCTTCATACTCTCTAATTTCGCGTGAGAATCTGCGTACGGTTCCATGTTACTGATGGACATTGTGAGTATGTAGGAATAGCCGGGTTCCAGAGGATCAGTGAAAAGTAGCTTCTGGGCGTATATTCACATCCAGGCCACAAATGGAGAAACATCGACCTCAGCTCAACAAGTGCGCGAATGTGAAAACTTCCCTGGCTAGTGCGAGAGAATGAGGACTTGGCACCGTTCGCCACGTGGTGGCCTGATAGAGAATGGAACCTGCGTGATAGCCATATTGACTAGCATAGAGCTCTGCGGATGTGATCAGTCTTCGGGGATTGTTGGTGGGGCGGTGGCCACACAGGATCCAACTGTGGTCATCGTAGCACGTTCCAAGCAAATCGAGGAACTGTCACTCTGCCAGCTCAACATTTGGGGCCTCATACTTCAAGCGGCCCAGTAATTAATTGTTTCTACCTTGCCTTTCGATGTTTTGTGTTGAACGCAAAAACAGGGGCAAAATCCACAACTGGCAAAGATCACCTCGATTTCTCTTGTTATATCTAAATTCCCAGTGGGGGACAGTATCCAGCTAAATAACGGGGTGGTTGTGGTACACCAATGATAGTAGTGGACGCCCTATTTCCATAGGATACGATAGCACAGAGAATTACATGTCCCCTCAATACGTTCTGGGTCAGATAAGAAACCGAAGGCATCGATGATCAAATACGTTCTACAGTTCCAATGGTATTCATGGCCAATCAGAGATAACAGAGCATGACTATTATGACCTGCTTCTTTTTTAAGTTTTGGGTCAGAGTTTGAGGCTAAGCCATTAATGCATTAGAGAACGAATACGGGCGGTCAGTGATTCCCGTTCCGGAAACGCAAAGAAATATCCACATACCGTGGTCAGCACAATTCTGCGTGAGCATCGCCCTCGGCATAAAGTTGAGTCTGATAATCTGCTGGGGACGCTTCAGAAGGAGCGGGTGGCAAATGCGTCTATCCGTCTGATATACCACACCTCGCCTAGGTGCCTTCAGAGCGTGGACTGACCTTAGAGTGTCTTTCCTATTCGCCTCAGTTATAAGGCGGAACGCTTGCCTTTTCTGCAGGAAGCTCCTCGACTAAAAATACCCCGAATTTTGAGGTAAACCGCCAGATACAGGACTGAATTATCTGATGTAGCTAGGGATGACTTCTAGGAGGTGCCACCGCCACATTTGTCAGGTTTCCTAAGGTGATCGAGAGAATTGATTCACATATTCAATTTCCCCTCTGGGAGCCAAAGATGGCCTGATTCGGTTAGTGTACGAATACCAGAGCTGAGAAGTTTTCTGGGCTCGGGCTTGAATGACCCGTACGGTTTTATTCCCAGGTACATAAGAATGTAACTGGAAAGTTAGGGATAGAACCTTGTGCTAAGAGACTAACTCGTAGAAAGTGGGTAACTATTGCATGGGTCTTGTGGGGAAGCGGTCGGGCTACAACATCTGCCGTTTCTTCCCTTTTAGGCAAAATCGCCAACCCTATAAATATAAGGATAAAATTAGGTTTTCTCTCGTTGATATCCTTCTCTTGCCCCCACTTGCTCCATTAGCGAGAAAATAGCAAAATGGGTACCTAGGACTTTGTTTGGGAAAGATGAGAATAAGATATTGACAGTGGAGAAGCAGAGTAGAAATAAGTTGAACAACTAGTCATACGAGTCCTACCGTGCAAGGCAGTATGGGTCTTCTGCTTGATTATCAGGCTACTCATCTCTCACATCGGACATTAGCCGTGGTTATCACACAAGAATGTAATAAGTCTTCCCATAACTCGCATGCCTGGACAACAGAGGTAATATGGGGAAGCGATACAGCCACACAGGCCTTGCTACCTATCAGAATTTCGGACACTTTGTGACGGGGAATCATACCTGCGATTTGTCCATAAAGTTTCTATGGGGATTCTCATGTGACTGAACAGATCATGTTAGGTCATGAAAGGCTAACGATTTATTGAGATAGCTTTGTGCAAGCCCACATTAGTAATTGACTCTGCTGAGTTCTGAACCATTTGTATTTTACGTAGTGAAGGCCATCATATTCTGGGTACTTATATAAGACATCGGTTAAATACTAGCATCTCTATGTTCGTTCAAGGATATTGTACATCACGCTGAAGCGAAGCACGTGTTCTAGGATTGACTCTTTTTCCCCGGCGGTCCTCTCAATTGCCACTTATTTTTTGTATCTTATGCTTTTTTTTCCTCCCACCGTTTCGCAGTAGCTTACACAAAGAACGGGCGCAAGCGGACACTGCTAGACTGGCCATTTGGCAAGATTGCCGTCTTTCCTATGGAGATCAGCTCACTCGGATGGCACATATTGTAGAGCAACATCTGCATGAACATGAGGACCCCGTCGAAGATGTAGAGAAAGACCTCGTGGCGGAGCAGGTAGCCGTTGTTCCCTTGAATATACTCAATAACGCGAAAGACTGACCGCGCCATAATAAGAAGACAGGCGGCGTACATCACTAGCAGGTTCTTTCGCCATGGAAGACCTGGGATAGTAAGCCGGGCAGCAGACTGGTTGCGCTGCATACGCCAAAGGAACACGGTAGCGGTGACTATGAACAGTCCAAAGAAGGCGATCTGGATGAACAGGCCGGCAATTACAACATCTTCACCCGTCCTCATCCCGTTCGCTCCGGTGACCATTATTCCGGCACCTGAATTCATTATAACGTCAGCATGCGCGTAACAGGACAGGCAGTGATACGTGAGCAAGGAAAAGTAGGATAAATTTAAAGGGAAAAGCAGATCAACCAAAGGCTTTTTCTTATGAAGAAACACAAGGAGCCATAGACTCACCGGCAGCTTGGACAAGGAAAGATATTACATCTCCGGAGACGAAGAATCTCGTCAACCATCGTGGTTTCACAATGGCATATTCTGGATGCTTAGTGATGAGAATAAGTCTCCCCAGCACCATATATATGGAAGCGGCGAACAAGGCAGGAGCAACGAGAATTAGAAGGCTTTGCAGTACATAAGGCCCCAAAGTCCAATTCGGTGTCTCATAATGTCCTAGAGCACGGCCAATGTATCCGACACACTCAACTAAAAGATATCAATCCATGATGGTCAGTTATCTAGTTCTCGAAGAGGCTCCACTCTCTCCACCCTTGAGGGTAATGAGAGAATTTGTGGGGATATGGACAGCATATTGCTCACAGTAGCCCCCTATAACATAAGGAATAAAGCACCAAGTGCGTGTACGCAGCATTTGAATCGTGTGAACCACCGAGCTTATGCCGAACAGAATCGTGAAGATCAAGGCCGCTGGTAATGAAGGATCATAGTGATAGTAGGTCCAAGTAGAGTCATCGTTGGACATGTTGAATGCTTTGCTTTCTGAATGGGATAGGTAATAGAAGAGGGTGTTGGTATTTCTGCTAGTCTAATGATCCCCCCTTTATAGTATTGGATTCAAAGGGCAAAAGAATCCTTCACACAGGGACCCGAGAATTCAATTGACCGTACTCGTATTATTTGTATCGCTCTAGGGAACTTTGGCGAAGGAATGGAAAGAGATATTTCTACGGATAGCTACAACTGACACGAACCAGGGAAATATATGCTGAAGAGTCTGTTGGGTCAATTTTTGGGTTGCTTCCACAAAACAAGCTTAAAAGGCACGTTCAATTCTGTGCCTTCTTTCCCTGATAAATTACGGTATCGTATTCGTATCTGGCATGTCTCTGGACACCTTTCTTACAAGCTCTACTCCACCCCACAATTGACCCTCGGATCGTTTAACCAGCCTTGTTGGTTGGTCCACAGTGGCTAGGGACGGTCTACCGCCACAATCCGAAATCCCACCTGGTGCATCCGGCGTAGACGAAGATGTGTACTCCATAATTTGATGTTGTTAGCAACGTCTGTCCAACCAATCAGGGTACCCTGCGTCAACTCTGTGTGGGTTAGTTCGGCGTGATGATAATGAAGTGCATTATACAAACATCAACTGCAAATGGCATGAAACTCAAGGCTGGATAAATCTGCTGCTAAGCATTGTTCACGGTATTTGAGGCACGATCTCCGCAGTCGTGACTTCAATCACATCACCATCAAATCCCTAACATCGGCATCCACTGTCTTCTATGAACCTGGTTTGTGACTTAGGTTGAGAATAGCTTGGCCTGAACGCTTTCTGAACATGAGCCCTCAAGATGCGCAGTCCCAGACACGGAACGATGATAGGCCCATGCTTTTGAGGCAGACGACCTGGTGTGACCTGTACCTGCGAATGATAACTGGTTTGCTGTAAGTAGTCCCTCGATTTACTTCATTTCTCCGCCCCCGCCTGGGCTGCTCTTTGTTCAGCCAATGGAAAGACATTGTGTGCAATGGATTGGAGATTATTCGTCCCTTCCTTCATTTAGTTTCGTACGTGAAGAATTTGGAGTCATCAATGGCTCGAACAGAAGTCCAGGTTAACATGTACTGGGAGCAGGACAAAAACGCTGTGGCCGATTAAGTTTTATTCTATAATAATTCTATAATGTAGCAAATCACGTAGAAGGGGATACCCGAGGGCTGAGGTTAAAGCTATTCTTGAATGACTGTTATCTCTGGATACATAGCTGGAGGTGATTTAGAAGCCATAAGACAAGGAAACGGTCACTTTATATATCTATGGATAGGGAGGAGGTGCCCCGCAGTATACAGGATATAGGGTACAGTATCATGCATATAAGAGAACAGTGTAGTTGCTATATGCCGAAAGCGCGCTCGGAACGCCGTTGGGGCGGATTCAGCCTTACCGCACGTGATAGTCCGGTACGGGAAGGGGTTGACCCCAAAGATGAAGATGGGAATGAGATCACCGACCGGCTCATGCCATCTCGCAAATGGTATTTTTTTTTTGTCTTTTCCCGCTTTTCTTTTCCCTCGCCGTTGGCTCTTGGCCTTGCCAGGATTTGCCATTGGTCGGTCTTCTACAATGCCATCGCGTCGGTCACATCGCAAGTCTCGTCATGGATGCATTGCCTGCAAAAGGCGAAGAGTCAAGGTACTGTCATGCTAGCTCCCCCTTGCCTCACTGCGCGTTCAGTATATGTTAGTTCAACCGTGTGTTGTAGCTCTGCTGTATTATATCCAGTCCCACGGTGTCTCACCAGTCTTCTTACTCACGTGCGCTTGCAGTGTGATGAGCGTCAGCCGGAATGCAGCAATTGTTTGAATCGCAGCACTGAATGTGTCTACGCTCCGAGGGATGAGTGCATGCAGCCTCCACAGACCGAGAACTCGTCTGGTCGCCGCAAATCACCCACTACGTCTTCGACTCCATCATCATTAGGCTGGATGGGCAGCAGCGATCCTCTTCCGCAAGCCCCCGAGCTAAATCTTAACAATATGGAACTGCTTTTGCAGTGGTGCTCTTCGACATACGCCACCATGGCCCACGACCAGCAGTTCGAAGATCTATACCGATGGGTGTTGCCAAAGGAGGGCTTAGAGTATCCATTTGTCCTGCACGGCTTACTAGCATTATCTGCTCTCCATATCGCTCGCACTAGCGATCCCGTCGCTAGGACCCGCTACTTCTCAATCGCATTGGAGCATCAAAACCGAGCACTCGCTTTATTCCGACCTGTCCTTCCTTCCATCAGCCGTGAAAATAGCCACCCCATCTTCTTATTTGCCAGTTTACTTCTGCAATTGGCGTTCGCCATTCCTCCTTGTTCTCCGCTCATGGCGAACCACGACTCTGTACAGGACCTCATCCAGGCATTTACACTATGCAGAGGGCTTCGAGAGATTCTGGGCGCATCATGGAACTGGGTCAGAGAAGGGAAGTTGGCGGATGTGTTCACCCAAGTGGATGACACCAAACATTGGCCTCTACCCGAAACCGTTGAGGTTGCCCTATCCCAGCTGAAGTCACTCAATGAGACTCGGGGCGGACAATTTGGGGACCATGACGTGGACTGCTACGATACGGCTATCAGTCATTTGAAAGACATGATGGAGATCTACCAAGATAAGCCGCGCCGTGTCGAATTGGCCCTGCGGTGGCCTTTCGGCCTTGAATCCAGATACCTGAAGCTTCTTAAAGAGAATGACCCAATGGCACTAGTGATACTAGCTCATTATTGCCTTGTACTTCATCATTTCAGGCACCATTGGTGGATGGAGGGTTGGAGCTTACGCGTCGCGCGCAGTATTTGGGATCACCTGCATGAGTCCTGGCGACCATATGTGTCCTGGGTCGTAAACGAGGTGGGCTTAGAGGTGTGAACGTGATTAGACCCACACAGGTGCTTCATCTCTTAACTTGTTCTCAATATTGCTTTGGGAAACCCCAAAATTTAAGCCTCAACTGCAGCTCGTGTGTCTGGGTCAGCATTGGGCTTCTAATGACCTGGGCCATGGTGAGTGACTCGCCTATGTGATGCCGTTTCTGGCAGTGTACAACTGCCCTGGATCCCTAGTCCAGGAGCTGTTCACGTTTTGGGCAATTCAACGTAAAGAGCACCTTGGTCCCAGAGAGTCACTAACCGCAAAATGTATGCAATTCCAGCATGGTTGACCATGACGGAAAATGGCAACCTTATATAACAAACCGCTCTCCCCCGGGGTCCCGGTCATGCACTAACTTTGATCGGAACTTCAACTCCATTGGTCTGCCATTTTTTGAAGTCACGGACAGTCCTGAGTCGGTCGCCAGATTCTCTCCCTGCTAAGGGAAAGGAGACAGTGTTGGTTTACCCTGCAAATGTCTTTTGACGGGTGAGCATGCGGGAGGACTCGGCCAGAAACAAACTCCTCCTTACCTCTGCACATGTGGCAATGCCAATAGTCTTTCATCTGGGTAGGGGCCTTTCAACACTCACCTTTTCGTGGCTTTGGAAACAGCCTTCCCGCTTCCTCTTCGCCGCCTTTACTTGATTACCCATTATCCGGGAATCGGCAACATACTATTCTTTGCGAATCATTGTCTCTGGGTGGACTTGCGCCAGCCATTTCTGGCTTTCCGTTCATAAGCCTGCTCCCATTATTGATTGTTCTCGTCCAAATTCCAGCCATGACTAGAGCGATTCATGATGCCCCGTTAGCCTATACTGCTCGACACCATATCTCACGTCCGTAGCAACTGTTAGGCGGATTTGACGGACTTCTGATTTGAAAGGCTAATTTTTGCTGATCCGTCTTACCAGTGAGAAAAAAAAAAAAAAAAAAAAAAAAAAAAAAAAGGGAGGGGGGGGAAGGGAAAGCCTCAGATCAGCGATCTTGGCTTTCAGGTTGCTGTTTGAGTCGTTTTGACTGATCGAAGACCGTTATGCTAGAAACATTGATGAGTAACTGAATGAAGCGTTACCAAGTCGGTAATACAGAAGTGGTCGCAATGAGCGGTTCTATGGAAACCAACTAGGGAGAAGCACGGGAACCACTGCTCCTCAAAATTCGGCAGCCGATCATGGAAATATCCATTGTCATTATAGACCTTGAAAATTTGATGGAGAAGTAACATGGGCATGCAGAACTTTCTTAGAGAATGCTATGGTAAATATGAAGACTATCCTCTGGATTCAACGCGTAGATAGCCTAGCTGGGCATTTGAAGAACGACAAGATGCTTAGACCAAGACATTCGTGGGTCCCAACGTGCCTATGTTTCGATATCCCGAGATCTATTCGTAAGCCAATATCTTAATAATAACTCTTAAGCTGACACGCAATTATGGTGAGGCTTCTGAACCGAGACTCGAAGAACACTAACAATAATATCTTGAATAGAGAGTAATGTGGAAGAGTGACATCAATAGAGCTACAGATATTATGAATGCGAACAATATGTCCTATTTCCATAACATACTGGTTTTCCTCCAACCTAGGCCAAAAATGATACTGAACTTCAAAGGAATTATAGCACATGGTCTTTGCACATTGGCCCTGCATTTTACTTTCGGCTCCACGTGTAAGTCCAGAGAAGAGCTGGCGCGCAATTTTAAGCTTACATTTCGTAAGCACTATACCCGAATTCAAATACATGTAGGAAGACACTATACTCAGGGGGCGTTTAACCATGGAACTCACAATGGACTGCGTAAACCAACAAGACCCGCTTATGCGAAGATCCCTTGCCTCTATTCGTCAATTTTACTTATAAGAATGTACTATTAAGGTGTAGTAGCCTTTATGGTCTTGCTCGTCGCCACGCACAGAATCATTTCCGTTTCATATCTTGCCTCGTACAGGCAAGCTAGAGCACACATACTGTACAGTGCAGTTAGTGGGCTATGCACTCAGACCAGTAACCTAGCGGGCTCTCTTGCAGTATTCTGATACTCTAAGGAGAAGGAATACTGTCAGAAATATTTACTTTTTAGGTCGAAGAATGGTCCGAAATTAGATTGACCCACTTACTAGACAAGCCAACCAGGGCGAGCCCCGGTCCTACAGTCAAGCTTTGCCATGCCTAGATTGTGTGATCGGACGAATTAGGTGTAGAATAATAGAGTACAGATAAAGTTTTAAGCCATGATCCAAACATTAGGATTCAATACTCCACCAAATAGCCGCCTGGTCAGCTCGTATTCGTTAACTAATGATATTCTTGATACTATGTACTCCGTTCACGATTGCACAGCTCCACAGTATTCTAGGCGCTACTATATTCATAAACTCTTATTGCCAGCCATACCCCTTATTACTGTTTGGCGCTTCGTCACATTATTTATTTTTCTCTGACAGACCAGGACTTTTGCTTCGTATGTTCTCATTTTGTCAGCGGCAGTCCCTACTACATGACAACATTCATTTGGCAATTTCAGACACTCAGTATCCGAGGAGAAATATTGGCAAACTTCAATCCTACGAATCGCTCCTCAGACAGCAACGTCAATGGCTGATAGTAACGATGGGTACTCGCTCTACAACTACAAGCCAAGTGTAGCGGCTAGTGTTGTTTTTGCACTGGTATTCGGAATCAGCGCAGGTCTCCATGTGTGGCAAGCATTCATTAGAGCCAGGGCCTGGTTCTTCACGGCCTTTATTGTTGGGTCATTCAGTACGTTCGAGTTTATCCCTGGGAAAACACAGGAAGAGTTGGCGAGTTTGAAGATGAGAAATGATCCTTGACTAACGTAGGAACGGAAAAAATAGTGATGACATTCGGATACATAAGCCGCGCCGTCTCTGCCACAGACCCCAATAGCCTCGGCCCCTACATCAGTCAATCCCTGTTGATTCTGCTCCCACCCTCACTCTACGCCGCCACTATTTACATGTGCTACGGACGAATTGTGAGGTGCACCCAACGACCAGAACTTTCTATAATCGCTCCGACAAAAGTGACCAAACTCTTTGTCATTGGGGATGTCCTCGCCTTCCTCCTACAGTGCAGCGGTGGAGGGATGATGGCGATAAACGGCCTGGGCGACATCGGTCAGAAGATTCTCGTCTTTGGCCTATTTATACAACTGCTCTTCTTCGGGTTCTTCTTATACGTGTCGGTCAAGTTCTCATTGCGGATCCGCAGCAGCCCGACCAGGGTGCCAGGTGGGCCGTGGAGGAATCTGCTCTACATCCTCTATATCATGGCCGCCCTCATCATCTTCAGATGTGTTTATCGAATTGTTGAGTTTCTGCAAGGTCATGACGGCTACCTTGTTTCGCATGAGATATATATGTATCTGTTCGATACCATCCCGATGCTGCTCGTGCAAGTTATCTTCCACCGATGGAAGCCGTACAACATGCTCTCGATGACCGAGACTGATTTAGGATGCGGTGAAAGCTACGTGAATCTCCAGGGGCTACGCTAGGGAAAGGGGTTGTTGGCCTTCCCTTGGTTATTTTGGAACCTCGTGGCGCGGAGATCGAGTATCTTGCCAATTTCGCATGCCATGATGGGTTGGCCATAGCTGCCGTCTTGAGTCCTAAGGGCCGTTCTAAAGAGAATAAAGGGTCGGTGCATTTCTTCTTCTGTACAAGTGAACTCTGCCTGCCTGTTAGAAGTCGCGTCGATGAACCAGGAGGTTACCTTGTAAAATGGAGATATGTATCATAGTGTTAGATAGCGTCCAAATTCGATCGGCTTCGAGGCACACATACTACCTTAGATCCTCTCAGTCGTGACCTACTTCGTGCCCTATTTTCTACTTTTATATGTCATGTTTAGCTATTCTTATATTAATTTACCTTTCTTTCGATTTCCTTTTAAGACCCTGTCCGATACGGTTTCCCCTCAAGCATTTTCTGCTGGACAAACCAAGGTCACTTACATTAAAATAACTCAATTCCCAACACTCGCCACCCCTATCTATACATTCTCCTCCTCTCATCAATCCCCGTCGTTCTAGACTAGACATGAAGCCCTGGTTAAAACGCCGCAAGTGCGGGTCGGGCTCGGGTGTTTCCGCCTGGCTCTCCTCGTATTCGTACGCTAAAGAAGACCAGAATCTTGTCAGTGTAAAGAAGCTGGCTATTTTGCCGATTAAGGAAATACTTCCCGCTGGGTCGATGCCCCACTACTCCCGAAAGATATTTGTCACAGACATAACGCAGAATTTTGGATGGGATTCGTCCGAGTGGCAATGTTTGTGGGCTCAGCATACCATTGGAGGACATCGATAATTAGAAGCAGGGGCAGGGACTGAATGGCCTGGCCTTCATTTGTAGCCAGGTCCGTTACTGAGATGTAGGAGATGAAAACCCAGTGAGAATCATTATCAGGACCTATCGCGCGGCCGTATAACAGAGCCAACATACAATATTTTGATTGGCATGCCATATCAACATCCCTCACATCTCGTTTTTTTCTGGTTGAATGTTTTTTCTTTCTTTCTTCTTTTCTTTTCTTTTCTTTTCTTTTCTTTTTTTTTTTTTTTTTTTTTTTTTTTTTTTTTTTTTTTTTTTTTTTTTTTTTTTTTTTTTTTTTTCCTTGATGGGAAAACATACACGGCGTTGGACTATAATGACTATAACCTGAAATCTCGTGTACGAATTTTAACTGGCTTCACAAGTCAAGTCCAACAACTCCTATCACGCATACCATTTATCTCAACCTCACTATCTGTTTCATTTCATTCTCACGTTCCCTCCCAACCCCCAACACCGCCCATATCATTTTCCGGTTTCAAACTATGAGCCCTAACAAACAGCGTAACCACCAACGCCAACCCCGCAAAAGCAACATACATAACCCAGACCATCCGCAGCGCCCGAAAACACGTCCCTCTGACAGCAACTTGTTCACTTTCCTCGAGACCACTAATCTTCTCCACATTCGACGCCGCATGGTCCCCATTAAACTCCCTCGCCAGCGCATTGTCACCACAAAGTCTATCGGCCAGTGCTCCTTAGCAGCCGTCGTCTTGTTCTGGAACACCACACCCCCAACTACTACTGCTATCGAGGTGACAAGCGAGCGGACGATGCCCATTGTTGCCGATGACCAGGGGTAGATTACATCGCCGAGGTCGAGGGCGAGGAGGATCATCAGTACGGGGCCGAGAATTCAGAGGATGCCGGTTCAGTCGATGGCTTTTAGGCCAATCGTTCGGGGTGTTCGGGGATTGAGGACGTGAAGGTAGAGAAGGAGGACGGCGAAGTCGAGGGCGCCGATGGGTACTGTTATCAGTTAGCTGTGGGTTGGTGGGTAAACAAGTGGGTGTAGACGTACAGTTGATCCAGAAACACCATCGCCAGCTGAGTTTCGTAAGAGATACACCACCGAGGACAGGTCCTACTGCGCTTCCAACCGCCCATACTAATGATGTGATGGCAAGATATAGACCCCTGTCTCATAGTGAAAATAGGTTGTTAATGATTATATCGACCATGATACTCATGCCTGGGCCACCAAGGCCCTGGAATACTCGGCCGGCGAGGACGTCCACATTCGGTGCTGCGGCGCACAGCTCACTACCCCCGGGAAATATAGCCATTGCGATCAGAATCACTGGCATCCGGCCCCATACGTCGGCGACGGTGCCTAGTATGTTACAGCGGCGTGTGCGAGAGTGTATGCGCCACCTATCCACGTGTAGCCGGTGGCGGAGTGGATTGTGCCTACTATAGCAGGGGTGGCGGTGGTGATGTTAGTGAGGTCAAGAGTAGAGGGAGAGCATTGTGCATGTTATGGTTGTTTTAGTGTTGATGGGTTGATTTATGTTCGGGGGAAGGTCAGTTGGCTGATCATTGTTAGCTGTAGATAGTTGTGGTTTGCTGGTAACATAAGGGCTGTCGGTGTTGTTCTGGGTCGTGGATACAGGTGCGGTTTCCATCTCCTGAGTTTTCGTTGTGAATGTCCTGGTATGAAAGGTGGTCAAGGGAGCTTAACGATACAGGCTAGAACTATGAAAGATCGTGGTTAGATAGAAGTGGTTAATGAAGTGTTGACGGGCGAACGAGCGAGGATTTGAATCCTTCTTTGTTCATTGCTGGACATATCAAGGACTACTGCATATAGGTAGAACTTGAAGCAACTTCATGAATGCGGTCGGACTTCTCATTTTACATGCGAGGAATCTAGAATCATCGACATATGTATAATTGAAAAATTCTGGACGTTGCTGGTTATATGGAGAGGCTTCACAAAGAAAGGAATATATATGTTCATAAAGTGTGTTAGAGCAACACAACACATCAGTAGAGATATGTACAGTCTAGTACAATCTATCTAAGTAAATCTATCGATCAAGCGATCTATCATAATCAATGATGATCATGAATACATGTACAACACCCTTACTCATCAAGGGCAAACCTATCCACGAAGCGGAAAGTGTAGAGTCCCTTCAAGACCTCCTTGGCGATGTTCTCGGTGGTCTCGCTCGAGCCAGTGTACACACCAGAGCGGGAGGTATCAATACCAGCGTTCTTAAGCGCAGCGCTACCGCTACCCACAGCAGCGACAGGCTTACCGTACCTGAAAGAGTCGACCAGGATCTGGTAAGGTCTAGCAGGAGGGTAGAGAGTAGAAGTGGCGGTAGAGTTCATCTGGTTGGCGAGGGAGGGAGAGGCAAAGAGGCTCTGGACACCATCGGCGATGATGAGAGCATCGAAGTCGATAGCGTCGGAGAGGGCGTAGGTGGTGTTGACACCATCGGCGTAGGCCTCGGTAACGATGTTCAGGTCGACTCCAGCAGCAGAGAACTGAGCGGCCATGGCCTGACCCTGCTTGATAGACTCGGGGTGGGAGTTGGAAGCGAGGAATCCAACCTGCAGACCTTCGATGCTGAGGAGGGGCTTGCCGAAGGTGCCGACGTTGGAGGTCTTGTTGGAGGTGTAGTAGGTAGGGTTGGGGGAGGGCTCGTCGAGACCAAGACCACGGGCGACACGGACGGCAAGGTTGTTGTTGACCATGTTCAGCTGGTTGACAACGTTCTTACGAACGTGAGGGCTGTTGACCTTGGAGTTCTCGAAGACAATGGCGTTGACAACCATCTGCTGCTCAGCGGGGATCAGAGAGTTCCAGAACATGGCGGGCTGGGACCAGTGGTCGTGGAAGGTCGGGCTGCGCTCGCGGATGAGGTGGCCAGAGGCGTAGCGGTAAGGGGAGGTGAAGAAGCCGTGACCGTGGGTCTGGTTGGCTTGCATGGGGTAGCCATTGCTCATGGTGTTGGGGGTGTAGGCCCAGTTGTTGGTAGGGATCTGCTGCTGACCGAAGCCGTCACGGTTGTTGTTGTGAACGGGCTTGCGAGGACGGTTGACGGGGATTTGCTCGAAGTTGGGACCACCGTGACGCGTCAACTGGGTGTCCAGGTAGGAGAACAGACGGCCTTGCAGCAGGGGGTCATCGGTGAAGTCAATGCCAGGAACGACGTGACCGGGTTGGAACTGCGAAAGTTAGATTGTGTCTGGTCATTATAGTTTGGGGATACATACACCAGCCTGTTCAACTTCAGCAAAGTAGTTGGTGGGGTTGGCGTTGAGCTCCATCATTCCGAGAGGAGTATAAGGGACAACCTCCTCAGGGACCAGCTTGGTGGGGTCCAGAAGGTCGAAACCAAACCGGAGCATGTCGGCTTCGTCCATGATCTGGGCTTGCAGCTAGAGGATTGTCAGCGACCGAAACTACGAGTGAAAGGGAGGACGATTGGGGACTAACCTCATATTTGGGGTAGTGACCGTTGGCGATCGCATTGTACAAATCCTGACGGTGGTAGTCGCTGTTCTTACCAGCAGCAGCCTGAGCTTCATCCCACACCAGACTGGCAACACCCTGCTGGGACTTCCAGCGGTAGCGAACCACCTTGGAAGTGCCATTGGCAGCGACAAAGCGGAAGCTGTGGACACCGTATCCATTCATGTGGCGGAAAGAACGAGGAATACCGTTACCAGACATCAGCCACAAGGCACTGTGGAGGGCAGTGCTCTGCTGGCTGAAGAAGTCCCAAGCGGAAGTGTGAGCAGTCGCGGCCTGAGGGATCTCATTGTTGGGCATAGGCTTGATAGCGTGAACAAGATCGGGGAACTGGATGGCATCCTGGATGAAGAAGGGGGCAAAGTTGATTCCGACGATGTCTAGAAGAGACATAATTGTTAGCATGTACAACAATCATTGTTATGTTGTGATATAGAGCATACCATAGTTACCCTCGTCAGTGTAGAACCGACAAGCATGACCGTGAACATCACGCGCGGTATCAACACTTCCACGGAAACCGACAACAGTAGAGAAGCGACAGAACATCGGAGTCTCCTTTTCATTGGCACTCAAGAAATCGGCAGCCGTGACGTTGGACCAGTCGGCATAGGACTTGAAAGTACCGTATGCACCAGCACCACGGGCGTGGACGACACGCTCGGGGACCTAATT